CCCCCCCCCCAACACACACACACCCTCCTGAGTCTGCTGAGCGTGTTCGTTTTGCTCAATTCCGCAGATTTCGTCGCCGTGAGATACGACGGCGACGAGGCGCTAGTGATGGATGGTGTCAAGGGCATACTGGCGCAATATACAAAATAATGCCGCTATTAATTGGCGAGGTCTCTGTCCTGCAATCAATATGATATTGCATTTTGAGGAGCCCTGAACGCAACACGAAAACCGGCTACGAGATTTGGCACCAACACTGGAACGACAGCATGAGCATTCTGACAGAACTAAAATAGAAGATCAGATTCCGAAAGCGCAAAGAGAGGAGAAAAAGAGCGAGGCAATGCATCGCAGTGAAGCGCGCTTATTGGTGTCGAGATGTCGTGGTGTTTACGAGGAAAAAATCGCTCGGGTCCACCTCACTAACTATATGTTAAGGACTGGGCGATTGCATCCTCTTTGCACGCGTCCCCGCGTGGGTTCCTTCCGTTTGGTGATACGTATGGGTAGCTGGCGCCGCATGTTTCGCATTGAAGATGGTAGCATCCTAATCGACGGGTTTAAAAGCCGGACAGGTTATGGCTGTGGTCTACCGTGTTCCCAGCCAATAGAAGATCCCCGTTTTCTCAGTCGATGGATGCACTATCGATTCGATGAGTCTCGTTTGTGCTTATATGCGCCCTGTTCTTAATCATAGAATGCGAGACGCTTACAATAGCATATCCGTTTTACACATTTTCGAGTTTACTTTAATCAAGACATTATCTAATTCGGTGCGAAACAGAAAATTTCCAGGCGCCACTAGCAGCGTCTAGTGAGCAATTGCGTAGGTACCGTAGAAATGAACAGTCGTATTTCTTGAGACGGGGACCGAACATATCAAAGTTTGCCAATCTGACCACAAACGTTGGTGCTGACAGCTCAACTGGTCAAGTTAGCTGAGCTCATTGACCTCCTTTAATATGGCGTGGGTTTGACCCCTGGTGCTTGTCCTTGGCCATCAAGCTTGCCGCACAATTCCGGATTGCTAGAGGTGTTCTGGCGCATTTGGGTATTTTGGTAAGTATCTCAAATGATCATTGCTTCATAAAACCCATGGTATGCCACCAGGGCGGTGATCAAGTCGTCGACTACAGGGATTGCCTAATTTATAATCGCCGACACCGCGTAGACCAACTGGATGTCTATCCATAATCTAATGTCAACACCGCTTTTCTTAATGCCTATCGCGACGGGCGAGACCCACAGACTGTCCGGAAAAGCCATGAGGTTTGCGTCGATTAGTTTCTTGAGCAACTTGAAGTTTTGCCATATCGATCCGAAGAGCACACTATTAGATCGGATCATACCCTACGTATCGATGTCCCAGAAAACTCAGTGAGCAGGTGGTGGTAAAGCGTTACCACTCGAGATCATAATCGTCTCGTTGTTCTTCAAGCCTTCCACCAATCCACATTGATGTTGAGGCGACAACTAGGCGTTCTGGACATTCGAAGCAGCGTAGTCCAGTGCAATAGTCGAAGCTTCAGATAGATCCGCCTGGAAAGCCGATTCTTGGGCGTAATCCGTCAGCTCAATGTGCGCTGCTTCAGCTTTGGGTTGTCTCTCTCTCTCCGAGTACTCGTTTCCTTGTATTGTCAACTCACATATGATCGACACGTAGATGGCATCGAGAATCTACGTCGCCGAGCTTTCGTGATGGTCATTAGTTGATTCTGCTGTCGCTCGCATCACCGCCGCTTTTGGTTTCGTCACTTTGGTGCAGTAAGCGCTTTAGAATCGGCCGACTGAGCCTATCGATCGCTATGTTTTTCGCGCTAGCCATTCTTCGTAAATCTTGCTCTTCCAAATGAACAGAAACTTGCCGTTCGCTGATTCATAAGCCAGTACCCGTTATTCTCTGTAGTTCGTCCAATCCAGACGCACATACCAATCCCTCTTCGGCAAGAATCCGCTTGGAATCTACATCACTACGTTGAAGATCAGTGCTACGTAAGCAAAAGATATTCGTTAAATGAATCCGAACCGTGCTACCTCTTTGAAACTGCACCACCGTTAGTACCACCTGCTAGGTCCATCTGATCCATGCGATATGAGTAGCTGGCAAAGCTTTCCGTCGCTGGAGATTGATCTCGTAGCATTCGCGTGGTGCAATTCGAGGTCCTTTGGTGGGGCCACGATTGATGTGTTTTCCTTCGTTTTCGTCGATCTTGTTCTACATAATGATGTGGAGTTTCATAACCTCGTCTGGTAGCTTGGCGGGTACGCTGAATAGGTCTAGATGCACACCTTCTGGAATCGTGAAGTTGGTTCCAAACACCGCGTC